AGAGAGAGAGAGAGAGAGAGAGAGAGAGAGAGAGAGAGAGAGAGAGTCCGGCCTGTCATCACTGACGTCGGGGCAGGCCACTGGCCAATGGGCGACCTGGGCGATTGTTCTCACGGTGGCCCGGGGCCGTGGCCCCGAATCTATTCATTTCGTTAAGCGCCCTGCTGCCGTCTCTGCAGTGCCTGGGATTTCACACAGACATTAAAGACACGGAAAAGGGCGGCGGCGGGGGAGGGTGTGCAAACCCAAAACTTAAAGAAAAAACAAACAAACAACAAAAAAAAGCCCCACCACTTTGCATAAGTTTTTGTTTGTTTTTTGTTTCTTTTTTTTTTTTTCCTGTTGTCTTTTCACTGCACTGCCAGGCTGCTGTAGCACCGGCGGCTGGCAGGCCGAGGTTCAGCAGGAGGTCCTTTCCAGGCCCAGTGGGACACTGAAATTAATATATACGTCTAGGATGCTTCAAAATCACTACCACTTCCAACTTCACCACCTCCGAAATGACCCCTCCTGTCACTTCCTTCTTTGGCCCGGAGCACCCCTTGGTGTTGGTGGACAAAGTAATCTTGAGATACGGGTCTTACACCTCTGCAGCAGAGGCCGTGCCCCCAGGCACCCACAGACTCAGTCTTCTTGCCTCTCCCACCTACCCCATTATCACTACCCCTCTCCAGCTCATGGCGCGGCAGGGGACGGCAGAACTGCAGCCTAGCCGGACGAAGGCGGAGGCTTTTTGGCTTGACTTGGTCCGCCAGGTTCACTGCTGGCACCGACTCGCTCAAGATCCCAGCACCAACGCCAGAAACCTAGATGCGTCTGGGCAGGGCTTGTCCCCGGGGGCCGGGGAAAGTGCGAAGCCCACTCCACCGGTTCTCATACACGCTATTTGTCTCGACAACAGGTAGCAGCTGTGGACACCATGGACCCCAGCTCGCCGCCGCTTCGAGCCCCTCGCTATTTCCGGGCCTTCATGAGCAGCCTCCTCAGATTTCCCACACCCGTCGTTTGAACGGACTCCTGCGTCTGGGGCTCCCTGGAGACATGTATGCGAGGTCGGAATCCTTTGCACCGGGGCCTACGGCCCGCAGCGACACTTTGGCAACAGCCACAGCCCTGCATGGCTATGGTGGCGTGAATCTAACCGTGAACCTCGCCGCACCCCATGGCCCTGGAGCCTTTTTCCGCTATATGCGTCAGCCGATCAAGCAGGAGCTTATCTGCAAGTGGCTAGGCGAAGACAGCCCTGCATCCCCGCGCCCCTGCTCCAAAACTTTCAGCACCATGCACGAGCTGGTCACGCACGTCACCGTGGAGCACGTCGGTGGCCCAGAGCAGGCTAACCACATTTGCTTCTGGGAGGAGTGTCCGCGTGAGGGCAAGCCCTTCAAAGCCAAATACAAACTTGTAAATCACATCCGCGTGCACACGGGCGAGAAGCCCTTCCCTTGTCCTTTCCCAGGGTGTGGGAAAGTCTTTGCTAGATCAGAAAATCTCAAAATACACAAACGAACACATACAGGTCAGTACCCAGTGCTGTCTGTCTAGTGTGACCCCATGGAACACAGGCCCTTGGGTCTGAACTTCCTCAGGTTCCAGTCGAGGGGAGGAGGGAGATAATTTTTGGTTTTGCTTCCTTGAGCCAGATTTATAAAGCAGTAAGTAAAAGCTTCTGCCTGTAGACTCACCGTTTTCCGGAGGCTGTGTGGGTAAAGTGGTTCCAGAGTTCTGGGATCCCTGTTGATAAACGGGCACTCCTAGATTTGATTTGATTTAGGATCTGAAGATTGGGCCCTGGGTACTGAGTTATATCCCCAGTCCCTAGAATTTGGTGTTAAGACTTTTTTTTTTTTTAAACAGCATGCCCCCCCCATCTTAACGGAAATGGGAAGTATTGTCTCACATTTGCAAGTCACTTTTGGAAACTCTTTCCCGTTTTAGCTTCGCCATCACCTGGACTGAGGGGGTCATCAGATCCTTAATACCTTCTTGAGGATTTATGAGCCTTGGGGGCCTACTTTGGACCTGCTTTTTGCATTGTTGGCTCCGCGGAAGGGACTTTTTTTTTTTTTTTTTGGTAACCCTCATTCTTATTTTAGTAGAGACCCAACGGGACCCACTGCCTTAAATGTCATTTACCGAGCTGTTAAGTGAAATAGGGACATGTGTCAACCACATCTGTTAGCTCTAGTTAACAGAAAGAAAAGGAGCTCGGTGAAGGAGGCTGGGAGTTGAACTCTTCTGGCCAGAAGCATCTAATTAATACAATTGCAAGAAGGAAGTTTTCACACTTTCAGAACAGCCTGTGAAGTTACATTAATTAGTTTAGCAGCCACCCTTTGACTCTCCTTACTCCTCCTCCCCCTCCCTTGAAGTTTCAGAAGTCAGCGTCTTCTCCCCTCCCCCATCTTGGAGGCGGGAAAAGGGAAGAAGGACGCAGAGACCGGAAGAATTCCAGCTTGGTACCCCGGTTCTCCAGGCAGTAGCTTTGCTTTCTTCAACTCTTTTTTAGAACAACAGTATTTAAAAAGAGTCAAAGTCCCCAATGGGTTCAGTGTGAGGGAGGAAGCTTGCTGAGTCTTGTTACATTTTGGCTTCTCCGTGAGGTGTAGGGGTAGAACATTGCCATAGACTGAGACAGGACCAAAATCCACTTTGGATCCCGTTCTTTACGCCCCTAGCATGTCTGCAGACATCTTGTACGGTTTTCTAGAGCTCGCTCTGGTATCTTTCACATTCATCTGCTCCTCTTTCCCCAAGTTATATTCGCAGGGACAGTAAGGGGTGAGTAAGACCATGGTTCCAAACCTCAGATTTGCTGCTCCAGGGGCTGGTTGCCAGCACCTGGAAGGTGGATGCACAATCCGGGGCTGGAGAAAGAACTCATCTTTAATAACAGGGATCTTGAAGCAAACAAACTGATACTGCTCTTTGCCGGCCCACTGTTTGAAGTCTGGGATGCAGAAAATGGTTACATTCTTAGCGCAATCGACCTACATCAGAGAAGCCCAAGTGTGCCTGGCTGACTCTCAGGTTTGCATGGAGTCAAGGCAGAATTCTACGCGTTATTTTCGGTCTCAGTTCTGATTGGGTTAAACGGAAAAAAAAATAGAGAAAAACAAAACAAACCCCACAGATCCACCCCTGTTCCGGGGTCTCCCTCAAATCTCCTAAGTAATGCTCAAATCTTCTAAGTAATGGGAAGAAAAGGAGGAGGCAAAGCAGCAACAAAATGTTTCTCAAATGGCAATAGAACTCTCTACAAATTATTCATGAAGACAGTTTTCGATTCAACAGGAAAATAATTGCCTTTTCAAATATTAATGGCGTTTCATTTCCATCGAGTCGCAGAAGCGGCGATCAGGAGCAGATTTCTTAGCTGAGATTGTCCCGAATGTGACTCCCAGGCCTGGCTCTGGAGGCGGCGAGTGAAGAAAGGTTTCACTCTGTAGCTGTGACAGAGACCCGGGAACAATGGTGCGGCGGCGGCGAGGGAGGCGCGGGCCCGGAGCGCGCGCGATGCCAACCTCCCAAACTGGCGTGCCTCCCGGGACCCCTGCCCTGGGCTCTCCCCACCTTTCCCGGCAGTCAGTCAGCCCTGGGGGTGGGGGGGGACCACAAGCCGGCGCCCCGGCCGCTCTGGGGCGGAGTCATCGCTAAAACCGACCCAGCCACAAGTGCGAGAAAATGGCGCTGGCCGGGCGTCCTGTAGGCCAGGAACTTTGCACCCGCGGAAGGAGGCATTGCGCGCCCCGAAGCCCTGGCCGAGTACCGGGGCCAGGGCCCTAAACGGGATCGGGAGATTCGCGGCCTAGGCGGCACAGCCAGGACTCAGGTCGTCCCGCGGAAGGCAGGCCCAGCACGGCGCCGCAGGGTCCACCCTCCCACCCAGGGCGTCGCGCAGGGACGTGGGGGAGGGGACGGGCCAGGGGTGGCGAGGTGGCGGGGGTAGGAGGGTTGTCAAGCGCAGAGACCAGGGCGCCTCCTGCAGCTGGGGAACACTAGGGCCCGACTGCACCTGGCCTCCCAGGGGCCTGCTCTCTCCCCGGTACTGAAGAGGTTCAGTACCTACTTCTTTTTCTTCCTCTCTGGTTCTCGTCTGGAGCGAACTACTTTTCTATTTTACATGACGAGACGTTGGAATGGGATATGTGTGTAGCTGAATGAATAGATACAAATACTTTTTCTTTCTCCCCAAACCCACCCCGGTGAGGGGATTCTATCCTTAAATTCTAACCTTAAATTCTACCACCCCCACCCCTACAGACACCCGGAAAACCTATTCTCTTTTATAGGCGTCAAATAATTTATTTTTTTGTAAGTTACTTTATGAAGAAGATTGGAGAGGGAGGGAAGAAAGTTTGGGATTTGCAAACGCTGGTGGAATCAGAGGAGAGTACTACAGGCACAAATAGGGACACCGATTTGTTCATTATACACTTCCTCCACTTTTTCCGTAAGACTGCCTTGCCCTGTGAAAATGGCAGCGGGCAACATCTTCCAGACGACCCTAGCGTGCCAGATGCACTCCAGCAGGGGTGAGCGCTATCGGTAGGCAGTGCGGGAGAGACGGATTCACCGCTCTTTGCCGGAGCCAAAGGCAGGTTACGTGTAAATCTCGGTTTCAACTTAAGCGTCAACGCCGCAGAGGAATGGGGTCTTTGTTGGTTTTATCAGCAAATCTTGCCTGTAAACCGCGGGAGAAGAGAACACAAAACCGACAGCGGAGCATCTTGCTCTCCGAGTCAGTGGCTAGAGCGATTCTTGCACCCCTGATCACTCCCAGGACCTTCAGCTGCTTAGAGCACAGACACCTCCCCCCCCCTTTCCTTTCCAAAACAATCTCTGCTAAGCCAGAAATTTGAAATGCCATAGAGCAGCAAATTTCAGGCGGCAAGGAACTCCTGGAATGAGGCTTGATCCAACCAATATTCCCGAAGCTTTGTGCATTTTCTAGCCTTCCTGCAGTTCTACCTAGACCAGCGGTATACCTGGTGCTCAGAGGAGCCGGACCTGGCTAGAGGGTGGCAGGCACTCACCGGAAGCTTGCCACACTCAAGGGCGGTGATTTCAACAGAGACTTTAAAGATCTCCCTTGGCCTAAGCCTACTTTCCTATACTGGTTTCTGGGTTCTCCAGCCTGCGAGGTGGAACAGGCGGGCGGGGATGGTCTGGGGAGGACCATAAACCTGGAATTGTCAGTTTGAACTGAGAAGGGGCTGCTGCACTTGACAAGGTCTCCGGCGATGCTGACGAATCCGTATAATAAAATCTTATAATCGGCAAACATTATCTTGAGGGATTTCGGATGGATTCGGCTCTAAGATTTGAAGAATGTTGCAGTACGTTTCCGTCAGGGGGAAAAGGGAGGAGAAGGGGGCTCTATTTCCTGGGAAATGGATTCACCTCTGAGGTGAATAATGGCTTAGAATATTCTCACACTACGCATACGCTTGTGTATCCACGGTTCATCATCTCAAATCTTCTCATTGCTTTGGCATTTGCACAAAACCTACTTTAGAAAACACTTTGGACGAGGATGGAGTGTGTCCGGCGGATTGCTGGAGTAGGCTCACTAGGGCAGAGACAGATGGCCTGAGCAGCAACTTCGAGTCCAGCAAACGGTGAACTCCTCCATCAACTAGATTCTTTGGACGAAGGTGCTTCTGTCCCCCACGCAGATAAAAGTTGGACGACAACAACGTGTGTGGATCAGGGTTCTCTAGAATGGCAATGCCTATGATGGAGTCCTAGTCGCTCCTCCTCCGGCGCCCCCCCCCATAGGCATAGGACGAAGAGGGGGAGGGGTGGCAGTCTGGGGGAGTGGGCTGCGTCTCCTCATTGGGTGGGGGAAGGGTGTCAGACCTAAAGCACAGAGAAAAGTAATTTCTGAAAATCTTTTGTGGATTTTTTTTTTTTCTGAAAACAAAAGAGCAACGGGAGGGGTACAATCCGGACCACTGGGACGCAGCCCACACCCTTCTAATGTCTCTGCGTTACCTCCCCCAGGCGAGAAGCCCTTCAGATGTGAGTTCGAGGGCTGTGAACGGCGTTTCGCCAACAGCAGCGACCGCAAGAAGCATTCGCACGTACATACCAGCGACAAGCCTTATATGTGCAAGGTGCGCGGGTGTGACAAGTGCTACACGCACCCCAGCTCTCTGCGAAAGCACATGAAAGTTCATGGTCGCTCGCCGCCACCCAGCTCTGGCTACGACTCAGCAATACCGTCTGCTCTCACGTCTCCCTCGTTAGAAAGCGGCCGTGAGCCCCCGATAGCCTGCACAGCAGCGGTGGCGGTGCGTGGCACAGACATGAGCGAATGGTACGTGTGTTCGGGCTCCTGGCTCAGTGGAGGCTGACTCTGCAGCGCCCCCACCCCAGCCTAACGCCACCTCTGGGCCTAGCCGCAGCCACCACCGCCTCCAGTATCAGGGCTACTTCCCAGCGTGCTGCTTTGGTTTATGTCGAAAGTAGGCCCGGCCCCTGAGGCTTCAAGGAGAAGGCAAGGAAGGAAGGGAAGAAGGGCAGGCAAGCAGATAGACAACCACTGAAAGTTATTGGAAGACATTGATTATGCTGATACTAGATCTGTATACAAAAACATAAATGTGGTCATTCTACGGTCACATCCTGTACTCTCCTTTGCCAATGAACCCAATGTCTGGGATAAAGAGACAGATACAAACAACAACAAAAACTTATTAGAATTTATTCATAATTCTGGCAACTGCGGGTGGCAAAAGTAAAGGCATAAATTTTCCCAGTTGGTATGGAAGCGTGGAAAAGATTTTCTTTGAGGCTTGGGCCACTGTCTCTCCAACTCCCAGTCACAGACTCCTTTTACCTCCCCTCCCCTTACCCATCAATCCCAACCAGAGGAGTTCAGAGCCCAGGAGGAGGCAGACAGAATTCCACAACCATTTTCTTGCAGCCCATTTGTCTTTTCCTTTGCCTCCATATCCTTTTTGTTCCTCAGCTAATCTTGAAAAACAACAACAACAAAATAAGCAAATAGCAAAAACAATGAACCAGAGAAGTCCTGCATTTTCCAGCCACCTCTATAAGGCAGATAAGTGTGTGTGTGGGGGTGCTCTCCCCTTCTCTTGGAATGCCACATACCTTCAAATCCCAATGCCTGTCAGAACACATAGATAAGTCTGTTCGGCCAGACCTCAAACTCGATTTACATTTTATACTTGCTGTAGGGAGTGAGCCCAAAACAATAGGGAGCATGGACAAAAGAACTCTAGAAGGCTTTCAAGAATTCTCAGTTGTGAAGCGTCCAGGCTTCCTTTTCCCACCCCCAACTGTTTAGGCACTGCTGTAGAACCTCATAGGTACTGGAGCAAGGGATATGGAGCAGAAGGATGTCATCATTGAATCAAGGTCTCCACGACCAGGGATGTGTATGTACCTTAAAGAACAGCATCAATTCTAGTAGCCTTTGTCAGAAACAACACAATGTTAGCCTTATTTAAAAAGTTTGTGGGCACTTGAGAAACAAGGCACAACAACATTATTATACAGCGAACACCCAGTGGGTCTGAGGAGTTCAAAGTATTTGATGTGCTGGTTATGATGTACTGGGGGGGGGGGAAATCAGGTATTAGTGGAGGTAGAGAGCAAGGAGCTCTGCAGTTGTCAAGGGGGAGAAACACAGGGGTTTGCTTCTAGTCTGCTACCCTCTGTAGGGAAGAAGGAGCTGCCTCAAACTCTTAGCTAAGACCTGAAATAAAGAAAAACCCCAAAGGAAAGAACCGTGGCTAAAGGAGAGAGGGGAAATACAGGCAGACTTGTCTAGGTATCTACAAATGTGAAATAAATATGTGGGAGAGGGGAAGTATTTCTGCCCGGAAGGAAGGTCCGGGGAACTCAATTTTACAACTTGAGTCCTGAGGCTGGGGATATAACCCTGTGATAGAGACTTGACCACTTCCCATGAAGCTCTCGGTTTATCCCCAGTGTCACCCCAAAGAGGCACATTGGATACAATAAAAGCTGGACAAACAATTCTTAGCATAAGAACCCGGCTGGCTGCATTGTCCTCTATCCCTTCCTTCTCAGAATCCAGGAAAAATTCTCACTCCGTTTCCACAGATCCCACAACTTCTGTCCAGGAAAGTAGTCACGTTGACTGAAATGGGGTGATTTCCAAAGTATCTCTAGTGAACCTGTTGTTGAGTTACAACCTAGCCCAGAGGCAGCCTGGGACAGTCAGTGGAGGCAAAGAACTTGTTCCCATGGGCAAGCACTAACTTCGCTGCCAAGGTCCACAGAGCATTTGTGGGACTGGATGCCTCTGCTGATATTTTAAAGCTACTCCTCCTCTCAAAGGACTCCTTTCTTTCTCTCCTGTTTCAAAACACTTCGTTTTGCTTTCCACCCCAGCCCAAAATAACGAAATGAAATAAAAATATTTGGCTGATCACTAATCGCCTTTAATTTTTCATTTGCTTGTTACAGATGTTTCTTGCAAGGTAATCTTGCCCTGCGCAGCTGAGCGCCCGCATCTTGCGCCTGCGACATCAAAGGGCTTTCTCACAAAGCAGTGTTTCTTCGCCACGGTGCATCTTCATGGTAAGTTAGGATTTCTATGGCAATGGGCAAGTCTCACTGAAATCCTGAAAGGCCGAGCCTGGAGCCCGTCCAGGCTTTTCATTAAGGACATAATATTTACGTCTAACAGGCCTTTTTTCTTGTGTATACAAGTATATATTTTTGTTTGACGCGGACTAAATCATTTTCATTTAATTTCCGGTAAACAAAACCCACGCGAATGGGCACTTGTTCCCGATCATAATAAAAATGGATAATAATGCGAGGGAAGAAAAGGGCCGCTTGAATCGCCGCTCAGCCTTCTTTGTTTCTGCTTTCTGCGGTGATCAGAGGGCGTATTTGGGTTTGATGGCGAGTTTCTAAAGGCGAGGAAATGGTTTGTAAGAGGGAAAAGAAAAGGAGAAAGGTCCAATCAAGCTCGGGTTGTTCAAAGAGTCGGGTTTTGGGGTTGAAAGTGTGAGTTTGACGGTGCATCAGCACGCCGCGTTAGGCTCGCCATGGAAATGCGCGCGGGGAGCGGCCGCTTCAAAGGCGGCACACTTCACTGCGGACACTCTATTAAGATACATTTGCGCTGACCTTTGCTTTCACGCCATTTAATACTGTCACTGTGCTCTCCAGTATATACTCCTCCCAGGACCTGTCTTGCCAGTGTTTAGGGGTTCATCCTGTACCCTAATGTAGGGGGGCTTTGGTACCCGGGATTCTTTCAAAAAAAAAAAAAAAAGAGGAGGAGCAGGACTCCCGAGCATCTTGACAGCGCCCATAGGCCTCAGAGCCCCAGAGCCATAGCAAATGACCAGGGCATCCTGAGAAGCTTAGCAAAGGAGCACCCCCAGCTCAGCTGCCAGCAACACCGAGCAGAATGGAGACCTAAAATGAAGGTGACCAACTTGGGGAAGTGCAGGAGCTGTTAGTTAAACGGTGTTTCCCGGAGTTTCTCTACTGTTTCCTCACCCTAGAAAGCTTGCAGCCCCTTCAACTTTTCCTCTGATGTGCCAGTGTGTGGTAGCCTTAGGTTTGGGCTGGCTTTGGGCACAAACTGGAAAGCCCAAGGCCAAGGGGATAGGGAAGATGGCAGCAAAGTTAGAAGTCCATGTTCTCTTAATTGTCCTGTTGTTTATTTTATCCAAGTACCCTAGTGAATAGGGGAAAAATAAACACGGTGGAAAAAAAAATCAAACAGTAGAGTCTTCTTTAGTGCCCGTCCTTGTGGTTGAATAAAAAGGATGGTCTGCCTTCTATTGAGCTGAGAAATCTTTGAAGTGGGAGTTATTATCTGAGACATTCCTGCTTGTCGTCCTAACAACGCTGATGAAATGTAAAAGGTTCTTTGTCAGCGATTTGTTCTCCTCTCTGTCAAACTCACTTGGCCCCATCGGTTTCAAACCATTGCTAAAGAGATAAAATCAAATTTCTTAAAAGAAAGAAGAAAAAAATCCCTACACTCCACCAGTAGATAACTTTAGGAATAAGAGAGAGAGAGAGAGAGAGAGGGAGAGAGAGGAGAGAGGAGAGAGAGAGAGAGAGAGAGAGAGAGAGAGAGAGAGAGAGAGAGAGAAACTAAAACAAAAGACCCTAGTAGTTTAAATCATGGTGATGTGTGTAGATATTGAAAGGACCTTTGCACCAAAACTGGTACATTAGGTAATGCAAGAAGGTGGAGGCAGAGGGTAAGTGTCCCACATCTATGATCCTGTGTTTGTGCTTTCTGTCCTGGCCTGCATTCCATCAGCCAAGGTCAGCTAACTGGATGGATTCTCTTGAAGATTATTCAGGCTCCAAATATTCCTACCTGGGATTTTTGGAAATTAAGCCTGGAAACAAGTGATGTTTAAGATTTCCCTTTTTTGAAGAAACTTCTACTATAAATAGATTCATCGTGTTTCCTCACCACTAGTAGTAATCTGCACACACTTTATCTAATCATTAATCTAAAGAATGGTAGCATAAAGATGAGAAATTTTTAATATTTCCTTTATTATTATTATTATCTTGGAGTTCAGAACGTTTGGTTTAGAAGATAGTGACCAAAAACTGCATGCACATGCCATCCCCTTTCCCTATGTGCAGTTCTTCATTTTATATTGTGCCTAGAAAAGAAACTTTGTCCCTGTTCAGGTCTTCTTAACCTCCTACCTGTAGTTCTAAAGGTGATTTAAATAAATAAGATTGTGCTCATCACCCTGCCCTGTGTGTTTACTACGTGATTTGTGAAGAACTTTCCCCAAGTTGTAACCCATGTAATTGGTTATAGATGCTGCAAAAGGTCTGTCTCTTATATTGATGTTGTTTGTTTACTTGATTCTCCATATGTCTGTATTGCTAATTTATAGGAGAATATAATAATTGCCATGAATGTGAATTATACAGTCAGGCAAATATTTTATAATCATAGCTAACATGTACACACGTTTTAGGCAATCCTTAGGTTATTGGTATCTTGTCTATCCACTCTGTGATTTAAAAATCTCTTCCCATAACAGCAGTTAAATTATGAACTAACCTGAAAGAAAAAGGTTGTTGTGTGTACTTGACAGTGATTGTGAAATAAAGACAAAGTTGAAAGCTGAAACATAGTCTTCTTGAAAACATGTACATGTAAATGAAATAAAATAAGTTTTCTGCTCCAAAAGACTTTGTGTACATGTGACTTCTTTTTGCTGTTTTATTTGGAAATAAATGATTTGATGTTTTTCTTTCACCTTGGATTTCCAGTGTCCAGTTACTGCTTCATCATCTTAGGAGAGTTTTGAGGCTCCCTTAGAACCTGGAGTCCACTTCCCTATGTTCCTTCATGGTTCAGCAGGATTATCTTTGGGCCTTGCTACT